GCCAGGCTGCCCAGGGCAGTGGTGGAGTCCCCACCCCTGGAGGGGTTTCCAAGCTGTGGAGATGTGGGGTGAGGGACACGGGGCAGTGGGGACCTGGCAGGGCTGGGGGAACTTGGTGATCTTAGAGGTCTCTTCCAACCAAAACAATACCATGGTTCTCTCCCCCAGCTCCCCTCTCACACAGGGACACCCTACCTGCTGCCACTGCAAGTTGTACTTGGACCTTGAGACCTCCCCAGTGCCTGTGACCCACCTGGAAGTGAAAACCTGCAGCCCCAGCCTGTGCCAGCCCGCTCTGGGAGGTCATGGATGCAGCAAATGCTTCCCCCAAGGAAGAGGAACCCAGCAGTGTTCAGCTGGCACATCTGCCTCCAAAAATAGGCACCAGCCACAGCTGAGACCTCCTCGCCCTTTCCACCAGGCTTTTCCTGCTCCATGCCCTGCTCCAGGGATTGGGAACACGGGGTGGCAGCCGTCCTGGCGTGGAGCTGGAGGCAGGACAAGCTGCTCTGCAAACCTGGCTGCCACTGGGCTCAGTGCACAGCCAGGCTGGACCCCGAGAGCTGCCAGTGACTAAAAGAAAAGCTTTACCATTAAAACCAAAAAGAGGACAATTTCTGGGTTCTGCTCCTTCCCAGCACTCTTGTCACTATGTTTGCAGACAAACCACCAACAGCCTGATTTTCAGAAATGCCACCAGCCTGCAACTCCCACTGTGTGAATTTGGGACTGCAGATATTGAGCATCCTTGAAGCTCAGGTCGTGAATGGCTTTTTTTTACCTGTTTACACACAAAGTAGGGATAATAGCTTTATCACACAGCGGTGTTATTAACAGGAATTAATAAGAATTTGCAAAGTTCATTTAGATCTCTGGGTTAAAAGGCTCATTTCAAGGGGCTGTTACTACACAAAACCAAACACATGCACACAAGGAAGAACGTTGACTGCAGGCAATCCTTCATAGCATGCACTTAGCTGCTCTCTTCTAAGGTTTACAGAGCTACACAAAATTAATTAAGCCAAACAACCCCCTGTGAGTTAAGCAATAGATAATTTTATTGAAGGAGACACACAGAGCGTGGTGAATATCTGGTTAGCAAAGTCACCTGTCTGTTCCTGCTTTGATCACTGCTGAACTCCTTCACTATTGAGCAATACATTTATAGACACGTATCCTGCCAACCACGCTAGCTTGGCCTTCTTGGAGGGAAGGGAGAGAAAAAGGCAATTGAGATACAGAGATTTCTTGTCCTGATTGGATTAACTAATAGATGGGAACAGAGAGAGCAGGGTAAGAATAGTCTCCATGTTAATGTAGGACTTTTTTGTGCTCCGTGTCCAATAAGGGAGAGGGAGAAGTCATTTTTAGCTAGCCATCCTCTACACATCTCTGCAGGGTTGGTTTTGTTTTCTTGGCCTCTCAAAATCAACCTTGGCTACCCTGTTCCAAAGTGGCTGACGTGCTCGGTTATGTCCCCTAGCTCTGAAGTCATCAACATACCTTTAATTATTGCTTTAATGTAAGCCTTGAAAGCTTCCAAACTGGCATTTATCCTTTAAATAGCAACCAAAGGAAGGACAAGCAAACCAGAAGTCTTCTCAGTCGTTCTTATCCAGCATTTAAGCCTTATTACTCCCGGGCTGTCCCTTCTGCTGGCCATGCTGAGTGGTGTCAGCCCTCCTCTGGCGATTAGCAGTGATGCAATGAGAGTTATTAAAAGGGCAGCAGGAAAGCAGAGCAGGCAGGCTGTTCTAAACTTGGTGTAACCTGAAGCAAGCAATGAAGTACCCTCTGGTTCCTTTGGTGACAGATGCGACCTTTCACATTCTTTTCTTCTGGTTTTGTTTGCCATTTGTAATGCTCTTGATGGCCATGATTGTCTGGCTGCAGCTTCTGCTTAATGAAGGTAAGTTCTGCAGCTGATCAGATAAAATGCTCCTGCATAAAGGCTTTTATCTATCAGCTTCATCTTTACAGCACCCTGCTGGTTATTTTTAGGGTAATGCCACTTGTCACAGGAGGAAACTAAATGGGGTTTTAATACTGCTGCCAGCCTGTTGAACACCAAACTCAAATTATGCTTTTCTGTTAAAAATGCTTAAAAGAAGACAAGCTGCTGTCTGATAGTTTTTCCTTACCCTTTCCCTTCTTCTCAGAGGTAATTTAATTCCAGAAAGGCAACTTTATACACCACCAGGCTGTGGCATTAGACTTCTCTTTAGACTTTTGTTTTTGGAGCTGGGGGATGTCACTGGGGGAGCTGTTAAGGTGCTTAAAAGAAGACAAGCTGCTGTCTGATAGTTTTTCCTTACCCTTTCCCTTCTTCTCAGAGGTAATTTAATTCCAGAAAGGCAACTTTATACACCACCAGGCTGTGGCATTAGACTTCTCTTTAGACTTCTTTTGTTTTTGGAGCTGGGGGAACTGTTAAGGGATTCTTTCCCAAATGCTGAACTTTTGAAGGGAGCAGGACGTGCATTTTCATTTATTGGTGTATTTTATATTTGTGTATTTTGCTCATCTTTCCAATCCAACCCTGATTCTTATTTCTGCCATGCCAGTAACTGATAACAGGCTTTGCTTTAGGCTAATAATAGGCATGTTGATGCACTCAGGAGGATAAAGCCCTGCCAGTTTGCTCTGGTGCTGGAGCATAAAGCCCTCCTGGCTGAGGAATCTCTTGTAAATTCAAAAGCAGTGATTCTGCCTCTGTAGAAGAGCTGTAAGAAGGAAAAGAAGAACAAAACTTTACTTCAGCAAGGTTTCACTTCTACTTGGTGCCTTCTGTTCTTACTCAATCATGCAGTGGCTAGCCCTGGGGGAACAGCAAAGACAAGATGATCCCTGCAGAGGAGCAGGAGGTGCTCACCACAGCACCAGCGTGTGCTCCTCCCTCCTTCCCTGTCCTGCTGGCGTGTGCACGGTGGGTTTTTTACTTCCAGCTCCTGTTTTGCAGGCTGAGCACACAGCTGATGCTCAGAACACTGCTCACTTCAGCAGTGGAGTATCTTCCCTCCACACACTCCTGTGGGTAATGGAGCATTTTTACATGCTGATGTGTTTACAGTGCACGGTGGGTTTTTTACTTCCAGCTCCTGTTTTGCAGGCTGAGCACACAGCTGATGCTCAGAAGAGCCTTTGCTCTCTTCAGCAGTGGAGTATCTTCCCTCCATACACTCCTGTGGGTAATGGAGTGTTTACAGGATTAGAACATGAGAATCACAGAATCATTTTGGTTGGAAAAAAAACCCTTTAAGATTATCAAATGTTACCCCAGCACTGCCAGGTCACCACTCAGCCATGTCCCTCAGCACCATGGCTTTGAAAGCCCTGCAGTGATGGGAACTCCACCACAGCCCTGGACAACCCTTTCTGGGGGAGATATCTTTCCTAATATCCAACCTAAACTCCCCCCTGGTACAACTTGAGGCCATTCCCCCTTTTCCTTAAAAAAAAAAGCATTTCTCAACCACTCTTAAAAGAGAAAAATAAAACAGTCAATACTCTTCTCAAAAGCTTCTTAATTCAGTCACATCCCCTTGATTTAGGCTAATTTACAGCAGACACAAGTAAAAAGTGATGTGTTTCAGCTTGTCCTTTAATATAGTTGCTGATTAAGAGCTAATTAGTTAAACTCAAACACTTGTACAGGCCCCTTATTACCTAGTTGAGTTTGGAAATCCTTTATTTCAGCCACAAAGGGTTCAGAAGAACCTTGCTCAGCTCCTAGATGGAGCATGCAAGGCTTACAGCTGGAGAGAAGAAGTCATGTACAGGTATTGCACATGTTCTTTTTAAACCTGTTTCTAGCAGAGATGCAAAGTGAAGAAGAAATAAAGACACCATCTTCTGATGAGCCTGATTCTGACTCTAAATTTGAGGATGAACCAACGGAGGAGGAAAGCCAGAATGACACCTCCAGTGCAGAAATGCAAGAGAGGTTCCAATCCAACAGATCTGGGGGAAAACTGAGGCCCAAGCCTTCTTATCTGAGTTCACACCCAAAAAGCCAAAAGCCAAGTCTCCTTGCTGTGCTCACAGGCAGCTGGTTTCGGAGCCAGAAGATAAGATACTCCCACCCTGAGAGGAGTCACTCCTGTAGCATTGTGATGGTGAGTGGTGTGGCCAGGCTGCCTCTGTTCCTATCTGCTCGTTTTGTGCCTCAGCTCTGATTTTATTTATTTTTTTTTCCACTTCTGCCTGACTCATGGGTCTCCTGGGTGAGAGAAAGCTGCAAGAGGGGTTTCTGCTTGGTTAATGACTAATGAGAGAGTTGTTTCTGTCTTCTTTACTTGGAAAGACTCTGGTAGTCAAGGTGAAAGTAACACAAAATTGTCTAGAATAACTGTCATGTGTATATATATATATAAAAGTATGTGTGCTTATTTAAAAAGTCCTTAAGAATTGCATATGAAACACTGAAAACTGCTGCCTGCTCCTCTAAATTTAACTCAGCTGTACATAGAAACTCTCCTGTTATGCATGGCTGGCACTGCCTGTCTCTGAAAGCTGCTTCAGATGTCTTGCAGTGGAGTGTGTGACTGAAAACCAGACATGTGTCACTTCAGGAAGAGCTGGAGCTGGCAGCCTCTTGGCAATTCTAATCCTTTTAGGCTTTCTACAAATCCCCAAAGCTATATTTGAAGCAACATGGTGGGTGTCTCCCTGTTCCCTGTGCCTTGACCATGTGTTCCTTTGCAGGAGGAAGGGCCTCGGAGGGGAGAGCTGGTCCCTGTCTCTGCTGTGGCTATTCACAGCCCTGTCTGCTCACGTGCATTGCTGGGATTTTGGGATTGCAGCAGCTGAGCTACTCACTCCCATTTGCTGCTAGCAGTCTGGCTGGAGTGGTGACCTTTGTTAGGCTGGAGTAGCTGAGGACTGGTGTCATCTTAAACTGCTCCAGTTGTTTGACTACCACACCCTGAAGCTGAGCTTCAGCTCAAAATTCATCCTTTCTCGAGTCAAAGCAGTTTTGACATTGTTAATCCCACCAAGGCAGTACCAAGTCAGTGTAGTTACTTTTCTTTTTCCCCATTGTTGTTGTTCCAAGGCTTGAGAAACAACACCAAGATGAGCTTGGACTTGTCTAAGGCACTGTGTGGTCCTCCTGGAGCTCTTCACGTATGCAAGTATGGATTTCAACATAGCACTTTGAAGGACTGGGGTTTAAAATTATCTCTTGCAGGACGTAATACTCATACTGGAGGGCTTGCTACTTGGGTGGATGAAGGAAAGGAACAAGCACTTGTGGTCTCAAATCATCTGTATCCTACTGAAAATTGAAAATTCTGAAAATATTGCTGTGACAATGCTGTTCCTGCTTTTCTTCTTCAGCTCTTGTGCACCATGCTTTCATCTCTCACCAGGAACATCATCTGCCAGTTGCTCCAGATCTCAAATGCCCTGAAGATTCAACTGCTGCCATCCTCCCTGAGTATCTACTTGGCTCAGTGCTTCTCTTTGCTGGGTGAAAAAGCTGTGAAAATCCTGGGCTCCCTGAGGCTGGAGGGCAGAGAGCTGTTGGCTTCAGTCTTGGGGAGCAGCAGAGTGATGGAGCTCAGAGAGCCACCCCAGGGTGGAAATGAAGCAGGTAGTCCCACAACCATGAGCAACAGTCCTGCTCGGTGTGGGTGAGAGCTGCTGCAGCATGGAGAGGGAGGGTAATGCTCTGAAAAATACCTGGTTGAGACTGAGTTGACACACACTTGGGTCACAACAGCTACTTTTGGGGTGAGCAGGACAGGCTGGCTGGATATGAAAGGGACAACAGCAGCCCAGGGCTTCGGTGTGCACTCTGGTCCCCCCCTGCAGTACAGAGGGGTGGGTTCCATTCTCACAAGGACCAAAAGCTACACCAGCACCAGTGGTAGAATCACAGACTGCTTTGAGTTGGAAGAGACCTCAAAAGGTCATCTAGTCCAACCCCCCTGCAGTAAGCAGGGACACCCCCAACTAGATAGGCTTGATGAGGCTCTGAGCAACCTTGACCTTGAATCTTGGTACCCTCTGTTCACCACAGCTAATCTCTGACTTCAGACAAAGGAGACCAAGGCCACAGTTGTGGTTCTTACTGGAGCTCAAATGCAGCCCAGTGATTATTTCACTCATATTGCAATTAACACTTTTCCAATCTCCAACTTGTCAGTTCTCAAAGCAGGAAAATTTTTCAACACTCAGGTTTAACAAATGAGCCTACCTCCAATTAACAAGAAATAATTAAGCCCTTAGCAGCCACTGTGCATGCATTGCCTTCATTTCTGACAGCTGACAAGCTGATCTTAAGTTAAATTACAGCCCAGAGAGGCACTTGCCAACACCTTGATTTAACCAGTTGGTGGGCCCACAAGGAGGTTGGTGGGGCTGGGATGAGCTGATTTTTTGTGGCCTAAGGTCTTCCCACTGGCTGGGCTGTGGATGGAATAGCTGTGTGCTCCTGGTGCTGGTGCACACATCCAGCAAACTCTCTTCTTAGAGGATCCAAGTCAGGAAATCACATCCCAAAAACGTTGGCACACCAGTACCCTGTCTGCCTGGGGTGTCCCGTGGGCAGGGAGGGGAGCAGAGCCCCCAACCTCTGCTGAGGGGGTGGATGTCTTGTTTATGTTTCCTTGTCTTTCCCTCCCCACCCCCCGAACTCCACATGTCCAAATATTTGCCCAGAGCAGTACGCTCTTCAATAAAACTCGTTTGTCCACGTCTTTATTTTCACAGATCCTTTATTTAGAAAAAAGAAACCTAAATATTTGCTGTTCCTCAGCCGTGTGCCGAGGACATCTCGGGCTCTGCCGGGAGGGTGGCTGGGGCTGGGGTACTCCTCGGGTGTCCCCCCGAGTGCCGGCGGGGTGCGGGCCCAGGGGGCCGGTTCG